GCCGCGGCCGGCAGCCCGGAGCCAGGAGCGATGCGGCGGGGCACTCCGCGCCCTGCCCAGGGGCAGACGGGGATCCTTTCACCCCAGCCCTCCAACCGGGCTACGGCGAGGACAAAGAGGAGGAGGAGGGCGGGTCGTCTTCAGTTCTCCCTACACACTTCTTTTCAAACGCGGCCAAACCCACAGGAAATCTTGAGAATGATTCCCAAAACAAAGCCAGGGACTAAAATACCCATTTCCTGCAGTGTCTTTGAAGACCCCAGAATCTTACTCTGGTTTTGTGGGTTTCAATTCTCTTCCCCCAAAGCAGAGGGCTGTCCACTGTTACATTTTAAAGGGGAATAGTACGAGTCTGCTCTTCGTCTGTGCAGTGGAGAAAAGGCAGACGGGCGCGCTTTTCCCAGAAGGCAGGAAAAGGCACAGATCCACAGCCTTTTGCGTGAACTCGATCAAGATGCCCATGAGCAAGAAGGCTTTTAGCCCTACAGGTTCAGAACCAAGGTATGCTGCAACGGACACACCAGGTTATCGGGAGGCATCCGGAGGGGGAAAGCTACTTTTTCGTTTCTCCTGATGACTTTTTGTTTGACCTCAGTAAGATACATCCCGTAGCTAGGTCTTATTCCACCGGGGTGAGATAATACCCACGCTCTTGCTGCTTGGAAGGACTGTTATTCATAATAATATGTGATTTAAAGTATTCCTGATGATGATGCTTCAGGAAAGAGAGATAAGTGTAGGGTATTGCATATCTTTATGTCCTAATGTACCTGAACCCGTAGAATCAGAACACCACATTCAGGCCTCTGTCTTATTGCTAGAATATTTTTGATCAGGGAGGAAGCGAAGGGACAGAGCGGAAGGCACAGACTGCTCCGGAGACCTACCAGAAAGCACACTGTGTGCAGGTTTCTGCTTGAGTCCTGTAAACATGGTATTTTTCAAGCAGCCATATGGTTTCAATTTGATAGGGCTTATCACAAGGAACATTCCAAATTGACTGGCCTAAGCTGTACCTTTCCCCAAACTGAAAATAAACATCTGGCAACATCTGTTACCAGTTTTCCATGCACAGTGGGACAGCAGCCACCAATGGAAGCAGAGACATCCTGCATGGAGAGGAGGAAGGGCTGCAGTGCTGTATGTAAGCTAGGCTGAACAGGGGCTGCAGAAACAAGTGCAAGAAAGGACGTGGCATCCGATGCAGGACAACTTGAGGGAGAGCTGCGTTCTGCAGCATAAGCCTGTGCAAGGCCAGAACCTGCTTGTACAGCAGGCTGCATGGCATAAACCATTAACTGCGCACTTGATTCCTCCTATCATGTCAGTCTCCAAGACCAAAACACCTTTTTTTTTTAATTTAAAAGGTGTTTCCCCCTTCCCCCTAAAAACTAGCTGTAGCTTCCTGCTGGTTCCAGGCAGCTAGAACTTCCTCCAAGGTATCACTTAGGCCAGCTTTGCCGCACTGTCCTGTCACAAAAAACAAACGGTCAGATTTCACCAGTGTTGCATTGTTTTGGGGGCACCTTAGCAGGTACCTCAGAAATGAGGTCTCAGCAGTTCTTTACAGTGCTTCCAAGAGAGAAATTCTAACACAGCACCTCAACTTAGATAAGTAGTTTCACTGACTGAACCTTTCCTTAACAAGGTCTTAGCTAGCAGAATCTCCTTTGTCAGTAAGGGCTTAAAGCCTACTCCGCAGATAGCAACAAGGATGACCAGGGCTAACAATTAGCCAGCTAAACCCTGCTCTCTGTGCGCTTCAGAACACAAGCCTGCATGGCTTTGAGCATGAGCCACAGCTGCAGGGAGCAAGGATAACATAACACGGGGTTACGGCCGCAATCAAATGACTCAGAGTAGCAGTTGAGATCGTCCGGTTCAGCTCTGAGCACGCTGCTTATTTAGTTCAGATTCAACTGAAGTCAATGCCTAGATGGAAATGACTCCTCCAGCGGTTTAAAAGGCTTGCTAGGCAATGCAAAGTGATGAGAAAGGGCTTGAAAGTATATAAAAGGTACACTACAAAATCTGCGTACTAATACAAATCTCAGAGAGATTCTCTGAATTACAAGGATCTCATCAGGATGTGACCAAAGACAAAATCTGGAGTAACTAAGGCTCTCAGAAGCTGTTCCTGTGAATCTTTTCAGTCTGACCTGCAACTTAAGTCTCCTCTTTGTGCAGTCTAATAATGAGAAACAACAGCCTAAACCATCCTCCCAGTTCTGCTTCAGAGACTGGAATATTTGTGCCTTTTGCCTCTTCTTTGAATAAATCTTAAAAAAAACCCAACCCAAAACCAAACCAACAAAACACACACTTTCTCCCTTTTTTTAGTCTTGAATCCCAATTTATGACTCATTCATCTGTCACACTCCAATGTCACCAGCTATCATCCAGCTTTTCTCTGGCTTTACAGAAACAGAACCTGAGCTCCTAATTTCTGGAAATAGGAGTTTTCTCAAATAATTGTGTTGGCTTTCTACTTGCTCAGGGATCGTGTAATGTAGATGACAAAAAGCTGACAGTGTGGGAGACAGCGCCTCAATATTATTTCAAAGATTTGGAACTGCAGAGCTATCCTAGAGTTTGGGAATGAAATTACATCTTCTTGATCGCTACTCTACCTTGCTCCCAGCTCTTGGATTGTATAAGAGGCATTATATTTTCATAGGAAGAGAGAAAGTGGACCACTGGTGCTGGAATTGCTCAAAGCAGAGGGGTTCCCATCTGCATCACACCCTTGTGACTGACCATCTCGGCCATCTAGACCGAGTGCTATAGCAGTCTTGGTAGTAGAGGGGATCAAGCCAAATAATCACCAGTGTGAACTGGTTTCTGTCTCATTCAGTTGTGGAAAAGAGCTACTGCATGCAGGAGTAACTATTACTTTTAGGAAGAAAATTATGGGTTCATATCAGGAAACCTGTGATAAAGTTATTTGTATTATGTAATCTGAACTCTTACAATGACAACTCCAGCCCTTAAAAGCTACTACTCAACTGTGAAAATCAGTAATACCTTCCCAGTTTTTAACAGATGTATTGGACTCAGCTATTTACTGCTACGTTTCCAAGAAGTCCCACAGGCACTAAGTCGCTAAACTTCTGTATAATTGTTTGTATTCATCTTACTAATTCACGTTTTTTGACAAGGACAACAGTCTCCTCACCACCCCGCAACAGAGAGTCCTGTTGGCGTTCCAATAAATCCTCATTTCAAGACCTCAAGTTCAGCAGCGTTTCTAAACATAAACCAGAGCTGCGCTAGCTACCAAACTCCTGCTGCTAAGGTCAGGCTTTACTGGCTTTTTTTGCATACATACATGTGCCTGATCTTTTACCGTTACTACAGGGTCACCAAGATAAAAGAATGGGCAAAATACATCTTTTCAGGGATTTTTCCTACAGGGATTAACAGAGGAGCCGGAAGCCCACAGCAAAGGGCTGTTGCCTTCATAGGCAACAGACTACCTCAGGAAGCTCTTGGCTGCCTTTGTCTGTCATATCCACTTTGTTTTTCTGCGATGAGAGTGAGATTAGAAATGGCATTTAGTACAGCAAAAATCCCGTGTGGCTTAATTTCAGCGGTAAAATTTTGTACACACTCAAGGCTGCGCCGTGCTGTGAGCGTGCCCCGCTGCTCAGAATTTCTCTCCGCCCAGCAGCTGCCCTAAACCAGTCATTGCTTACACAAGGCGCTCGGCTTTGGCGCAAGAAATCACTTTTCCTCCTTTGTCAAGAAACAAACTGGGGGAGGGGAAGCCAGGGCAGAAGATAGTAGCGTATCTGGCTGCAGTCAGTGGCTACAAAAACCTAAATTCACGCTTCTGCCAAGAAACTTGCCTGCTCGAGTCCGGAAAGAAATAGATTTTGCTACAGTAGGAAGAAATACCGATGGATCACAGTACCCAAATGTCCTTCTGTGGCCAGGTCAGAGCAGCAGTTTTACCAGGTAGGAAATTAATCTCTGATGAGTGAAGAGAAAGTAGACTGTTCAAAGCAAACGAGATGAATATGGGCAGAAATCCAGATTCATCCTTAACACCAGCCACACCGGCCAGCCCAGGAGTTCATCGGAGGGTCTCTCCCAGACTACGGCTGTAGGAGACCGTTTATGTAAATCAGTCTGGAGGAGGCAGAAGCTCTTTATGTGGGATGGAAGAGGGCTTTGTGTGAAGGCTGAGGGGATTAGAGGGAGAAAGACCGTAGTTGTGACCGCGCAGAAGCGACACACAGAAAGAAACACTGCAACAAACAAATGAGAGCGCCAGACCAGAAGCTTGCCTGCCAGCCAATTGCCACGCGCTCCCTTTTCAGCCAGAATTTAGGACAGCCGTAGAAACTGAAAGTTCACCTGAGGGGAAGCTGTAGAAATATTGATAATCACACACAGCAGTGCTGCCCACACCTCCCATCAACCAAAGCCTCCTTGCCGACACCAGAGGAGCCCTCACTCTCACCCAAAGCAGCAGCCTGTGCAGAAAAGGCAAATCCTCTTAAACCACTGCTATCCCAGACCCTTGAGCAGTTTTTTGTGTCCCTTGGAGAGATCCCTCAGGTAGGCCTCAGTGACCTGGATCTATTTCCAATCAGCAATTTGCTCCTTCATTAGACAAGTCCATCTCTCTAAAAATGCACACGATACTGTTGGCTTCCAGCAACCCTGGGGAAGAGAACTGGAATTTACTTCTACCCCAGGAAACGCTCCCCGAGTTTCCTCCAGACCTAAAAGGCTATGCTTTATCTGTCGGATCTCCGAGTTGATTGAGTAAAAGCATGCCTGGGTCCAGCCTGGCAGATTCCTGTGCCCAGGGACACCTAGACCAGATGGCTGAGAACTGCAGAGTGGAAAGTATGTTTTAATGTAGAAAGAATTTTCATAATTCAAACCCTTTTTTAAAACATACGACCTTGAACTCCATTTACACTGTAAAATGCCTTTGTTCAACACCTTATTTATTCTTTTGTCTCTATAGGAACTTGAGATTTGGAGGGATGTGGAAAACACTGGGAATGGAAGGCAAACTCCTGTATCTCCTGCTGGTGGGAGCAATCATGACTGCTCAGTGTCAGGTAAGAGGCTCATGTGTCAAATAATGCCCTTGCTGCCCTCTGGCATTTTCAGCAGCACTTCCATACCATGGGCTCCAGCTCTCTGCGTTGGACAGAAGGAGAATCTGGTTGTATCACTAGAAATCAGCAGAAGGAAAGCCTTACAATGTAGTCTACCTCTAAGCTGGGATTCCCAGTAACGTGTGCTCCTGGCTGGTTTTCACTTCAGCAAGCAGGTCTCCAAGTCTTCTTGGTGTATCTGTTCACTGTCACTTTTAGTAAGAGTTCCATTGTGATCACACTTTAGTTTTCTCCATATTGTCATCACCTTCATCATTACTCTCGCTTGCAACTGGACATCAATGGTTCCCATGTCCCCTCACTGTACGTCTCACATTGCACAGCTTGAGTAAACCCTACGCAGTTCTAAAATGTTTAGTCTCTCTCTCTCAAAAAACTGCTGTCCCAACCTTCCTCTTTTTAAGTTGCTCTTTCTCCTGTGACCTGATCAAAGAAGCTTTCTAAACAGGGTTCTTCCTTAAAATGGTATCCAAAACACTGTATTTAATTGGCTGCGGGAGACGTCTCTCTCAAAGGCAGTCAAGCTACAAAGACTCGTGTAGAAACTACATGTCAGTGAGCAAAACTAACAGTTTGTTCACATTTAATTCTTTAGAAATCATTTGCTTGAGCCTCCTTCAGGCAGCAGAAAGCTGACAAGCTTCAGCATTCGCAACGACCCAAGAACACATAATCACTTCACGCACGATGCGAGTGCGGCGCATCCCAAGTTCACACCACTCGGATGGCAAGCAATCATCTGGTAATCTGCGGCAACTCGGCCACTTACAGTTCTCGGTGCCTGTGCTGAGGTACTAAAGGCACTTTTCACTGACGAGGAGGGCAGACAGTTGCTCAGAGCTCCACTCCAGAGGAGGACTGGCTCTTTGGAGGCACTTGCTCTCTCCGTTTGCTTAAGAGAGCAGTTACTCACAGAATTTACCTTCTTTGCTTGCAGGACTTGCGCGTGCGTCTCAAACGGGGAGCCAGATCTAGAGGTAAGCCAGGCAAGCTACAACCGCGTCACGCAGAGCTTTATGGACCCAGGTGGGGAAAGCTGATGATGCTGAGGGAATGGAGACAGAGCTGTTTGTCATGGTTATCTGGATGTGAGATTCAGAAGGCAAACTACCAGACTGAACCCGAAGAACAAAGTTTTCCTCTCCCTCAAAGAGGCCAGTCAGTAGGGGAACAGTACCTCCAGGAACACAGCAGGGAGAGGGGTGGGACAGTTGTGGTCTGAGAAGGAAGAAGGGCAGCTCATTAGCCAGACGCTCCCATCACAGATACGTTTGAGTTCTTTTGCTCAGCCAGGTCTTTTCCCGAGTCTCTAAAGGAGGATTTCCTTTCTCCAATTACAGCCATTTGCACAGACAATTCATCTGGAGAAATCTACCAGCACAGGGGGACCTGGCTGAGGCTCTCGGGGAGCAGAGTAGAATACTGTAGGTGCGACAGCGGTCGGAGTCGCTGCCACGCTGTGCCTGTCAGAGGTGAGTATGGAGAAGAAAGAGAGAAAGGAAAGGTGGGGGATGACAGATTGTTCATCTAATTATCCAAAAGAACTACTCCACTGTCAGGGAAGGAGTTATCACACAGAAAACGTGGCTTGAAATATAGGATAGAAATGAAAAAAATAATATATACCAACTTAGACAGGACTAAACAGGAGTGGGCAAGGGGCTGAGGAAGGCTCTTAAGAGTGTATGAGGAGAGGATGGAGCCAAGGAAGACTGTAAGCACATGATACTAATAGGTAGGCAAGGAAAACCAGAACAGGCTACAGGAGACTGACGGGAAAGAAAGGATGGGTATAGAATCATAGAACTCCAGATTGGAAAGGACTTCAAGGACCATCTGGTCCAACCTTCCTTGGCCAAAGCCCGGTGTAGGCAATACGGCCCAGCACTCCATCCAGCAGAACCTCAAAAGTGTCCAGTGTTGGGGAGTCCACCACTTCCCTGGGGAGATTAGTCCAGTGGCTTATTGTTCTCACTGTGAAAATTTTCCTCGTGTCCAGTCAGAATCTCCCCAGGAGCAACTTGTACCTGTTACCCCTTGTCTTTTCCATGTGACTCCTTGTAAAAGCGGGGTCCCCATCTTCTTTGTAGCCACCCTTTAAATACCAGAACACGATGATAAGGTGTCCCCGAAGCCTTCTTTTCTCAAGGCTGAACAGACCCAGTATATACTGCCAGCTTCTTACTTCTGTGAAGTCTTAACACTTTTTCCTGGCTTTTCCTTATTCCACAGCCTGCACTAGAAACAAATGCTACAATGGGGGCCAATGTTCACAGGCATATTATTCCCCACAGCTCTTCATCTGCCAGTGCCACCAAGGTTTCTCTGGGAAACAGTGTGAAATAGGTGAGTATCCCATGTCTCTGAGCAATGCTACTGGTTTTAGCTACACGGTGTGGAAGGATGAGGTACCCAGCAGCTGCTGCTGTACACTAGGCTTCCTGTTAAGTTGCCTCTTTTTATTCTAAAGCTAATACAGCAGAGGATTTTTAAGAAGGACACCTGGGCTGTTCTCAGTGTCTCTTAATAAAACTCTACATTTTGGAGCTGAAGACCTTTGTGTACACTCACAGTCTGCCTGGCAAGGCGCCTTCACCGACTTACTAGATTGGGAGCCAAGTTTAAACAGCGCGGAGACCGGGTGAGCAGAGTCCGGGATGCCATCCTTAGTAAGAGTTTGTTCCTTCTGTATCTTCTGTTCAGACACTGGGATTAAGTGCTACAAAGATGCTGGTGTAACATACAGGGGGACGTGGAGCGTGACAGAGAGCGGAACTGAATGCTTAAATTGGAATAGCAATGGCTTGATGGACCAGACATACAGCGGACGAAGAGGGGATGCTGCTGAGCTGGGGTTGGGCAACCACAACTATTGCAGGTGAGGGGCTGATAGCACACAGGTCAGGGCCACAGGAATCGGCCTGTTGTAAGAGCTTGGAACAAAGGAACGGCTGTTTGCAACAGTCTAACACCAAACAGAGACCACTCTGCACAAGTACAAACACTCTGCAACCCATGAGCAGCGATTACAACTTCTGGAGGCATACCTGAACTTCAGGTCTATCAGGACTTGATATTTATAACAGACTACAACATGCACACATCTCTCACCCCATAGTTTTTCCTCTGTCCCTTCTCAGTGCCTAAAACTCCCTTTGTAAGTCAGTTTCCTGCAGCTCCAGATCCTGCTCAAAACTCTACAAATAAGATGCTTCCTGCACATGAAGTGCACAAACAAGCGCTCCCCTCCTGCTACCTACTGGCAGTCTCATCCTCACCTCCACATACTCCACAATGCTAGGATTAAAACAGGAATCCAAACAACTTCTGATAGCTCCACCCACATCTTCACTGCAGAGCAGGATTAAGTTACTGAACTACCTGGCAGACATGGGACTAGTGACAATAGCTTTGTAATGATGCATGATATCGTAACTCTTTCAGAAATCCAGATGAGGATTCCAGACCTTGGTGCTATATCTTTAAAGGGGGAAAGTACACCTGGGAACACTGCAGTGTGCCCTCCTGTTCAAAAGGTACATGCAGGGGGACAGGGAATGGACTTCAGAGCTTCCGCGATTCACTGCATATATAAGGGTTCTCTGTGCACTTGTGCTATTTCTGTAGCTGGAAAAGTGGAGACTCTCACATTAAATCACGTTTAAGCTTTTAATATTTATGACACCGAGAGACTGAGATAAGTACAGCTAATATAGAGATGCCTTGACAGAAATCAGAGTTAGGAACAGCTGAGGGATTCGCATCCATCAGTTAACGTGTGGCTTTCTTATTGAAGTTGGGAACATCAACTGCAAATCTGGAAGAGGCACGGATTACCGAGGCAGCCACAGTGTTACCAGCTCTGGAGGTACCTGCTTGAGGTGGAATTCTCGAATCCTTGTCAGCAAGTTATATACCGCTTGGAGAAGAGATGCTTACCAGCTGGGCCTTGGTAGTCACAATTTCTGCAGGTATGTAGCCAGTTACAGAACTCTCTAACATCAGACTCCACCGATGCAAATCACACGTGCCCCTGGGGCCTTCTGTATCTCTGGAAAAATCAAAGAGTACACTCAGGGCACAGCTCACCAATTTCAGGTTTCTCCTAACTCCCTGCCAATCTGGTTTTACAACCAGCTCTTCTCTTTCCTGTGCTGCAGGAATCCTGACAATGACAGCAAGCCCTGGTGCCATGTACTGAAAGGAGGCCAGCTCACATGGGAGTACTGCAACGTGCCTACTTGCTGTAAGGATCCTAGCATTCCTGATTCTTCTTTCTTTGAGGCGTTACTGGTCTGCATGTCACTTGTATTAAACTCAAGCCTCCTTCAGCAAATTAAGAGCTGGGGGGGAGGGGGAAAACGGCTGCACTCTTACAGAAGTGCTTTTTTCTCTGCCTGAAGGAAAGGTTACAGGAATGGAGGACAGAAAAGGCAGCGTTCCCTTACTGTATTTTTCAAATCAGAATACAAGTTTCCTAGGAAACAGGAATGAGTCAGATGCTAAACAGCTCGTGCCAGGCTGCCTCAGGACGCACTGATGACTAACAGGCTTTTAACCCAAACTCAAAGCAAGAGTGCCTGAACAAAAAGCCTATTTCTGGGTTTGTCATCCACAGCCACTTGTGGCTTACGGCAGCGCAGCGTACGCCAGTACAGGATTAAAGGTGGCTCCTACACAGACATCACCGCTCACCCGTGGCAAGCTGCCATCTTTGTGAAGTATCGCCGAGTGCCTGGAGAGCACTTCCTCTGTGGAGGAATTCTGATCAGTTCCTGCTGGGTTTTGTCAGCTGCTCACTGTTTTGAGGAAGGGTAAGTGGAGGATTCGGCACTGCTTGGGGAAAAAAAAATAATCTGGAAAATGGAAACACTGAGTATAGCCTTACTTGAAGGGTAAAAGGCTTGAGAAAAAGCTCTCTATCCCAGTAAGTCACTCTGCACTACAGAGTTAATTGTGCTGAGCATTACAGAGAGGCATTTACTGGGCAAACTAGCAGCGTGGCATTAAGGTACCACAGCAGAATATCAAATAGCTGAAGAACAAAAACTGCCAGTACAGAGCCACCTGAAACGTGAGAACAGCAAGGGGCTGGCAGAGGAGCTTTGCCGTCAGCAATCAGTGCAAAAATGAAGGCAAATAGGACACAAGAGGTAAAGCTGCCTGGGTAATGCAGCAGTAATAGTGCTAAAGTAAGAAAAGCAGAAGCTCCAGCGATACATTTTCAAGGGAAGGGTCCACTCCAGTTGACACGGGAAGAAAGTAAGGCTCTCGTTCCTCAGCTTCAGTGCAAAGCAGCTGCAGATTGTGCTGGGTAGGACTTCCCGAGTAACTCCCGAGGAAAACGAACAGAAGTTTCAAGTGAAGAACTACATCGTCCATGAGAGCTTTGACTCAGAAAACTTCAACAATGATATTGGTAAGAGCTTTTCTGACCTCGTGACTGCAAAGGTCACAGCTGGCTCAAGTGTGCACATAACAAAGTGTGGATTTTTTCCACTCATCAGCTCTGTTGCAGTTGGACTCGGATGCAGAGGACTGTGCTATTGAAACACACACTGTCCATCCTGCCTGCCTCCCAACACCAGACCTGCAGCTGCCCGACTGGACTGAATGCGAGATCTCTGGTTATGGCAGAAATGAAGAATGTAAGTAGGAGATAATATATCTAAAGTTTGTATCCCCTGCCCCCAAAGAATTCCAGCCTTTAGAATTGCTTAATGTGTGATCCCCTGAATTGTTATATGGGTTTATGTCAGCACTACAAAACATACGCGTAAGTGGGTGACAAAAACAAATTTCCTGCCTTATTTCGTTCATCTGAGCTCTGTCAGCTGCATGGGCTAGTTGTATTCCTTGGTACTCTCCAGCAGTCAAAGTGCACAAATAGCACTGTGGATAGAGTTGTAAATTCTCCCTTTCCTATCAGGGCTGCCACATTTCTGCTGTACTGAGTACATTTAGATATTGTCATTGTTACAGAAATCCACTTCTGTCGAGATTTAACACACCATACAGTTGCAGGTAGTTGCATTATTCTAAAAGACACATTGTGTGCAGTGAATAGGAAAAAAAAAGCTGAAGAAATAATAATCCCAGGTATATATGAAGTGGCTGGCTAAATAGCTTTTAAAGTGAGCTACAGCAAACAGGAATAAAACTATACACAGGCTGACCTATATTCAAAATAAACAAAAAACCCCATCCCTTATTTTACTGGCACTTTCTACTGATTCCTTTTTATTCTCTAACTTGTAAACTCTTTGAGACAGAGACTGTGAAGCATCATTGTAACTCCCCCTAATCGTGACTTGAATCAATAGGGGGTTTGGAACAGACTTGAAGTGTGGCATGAAGTGTTTTTAAAGTGCTTTAAAGCGAGTCCTCAGCATTGCCTACAGGGGTACAGGATAAACTCTTCGAGAGGGAAAGGATGCTTCAACTGTAATTCAAAACTAGACTGAAAAACAACAATCCTGCGACTTTCAGCTTTGTGCAATCAATCACAGCTATGCGGGAGAATAAAACCAACACCCAAAACAAACAAACTCCCAACATAACACAAGTTACATTCCTATCCAATTACTCAGTATCATGTACGACAAGACATCTGATTTTTGTTACCACCAGGCTAATGCTAAAAAGTCAGGATCCTGTTTTGTAGTTAGTGATTTTCATAGGCACTTCCTGTGACTTCATTTTGATCCATGTAACTGTGCAACGATGATTTATCCATCCAAGAAACCCAGCGCTCCTTTGGAGCCTACAAAAACCTCTTTAGCATTTACACTTGCTAAAGCAGCAATATTCTCTCTCAACCAGATTTCAGCACTACCAAAGCAGTACCCCCAAGCATTAAAAATGACCCTCTGGCAAGGAAATATTAGTTCAGCCCCCCCCACCTACTTCTGTAAACTCTCCCCTAAACTCCAGGAACTGAACTGCAATTTAAGAAGATATATACACACACCTACGCAGACATATATACGTATTTATATTGTCCTTTTTCTCCCAGTTTCTCCATTCTATTCAGAGCACCTGAAGGAAGGCCACGTCAGACTGTTCCCAGCCAGCCGGTGCACAACACAGCATCTAGACAACCGGACTGTGACAGACAATATGTTATGTGCAGGAGACACGAGGCACCTTGATGATGCCTGCAAGGTAAACCCAGTTCTGTTCCTCTTTCTGTTTAGGTCTGTCCTTGATAGTCTCAGCTGAACAACCCAAACTTTCATAAAGTAGTTAAAACAAGTTCTGCATTTGGCTACATGGAAGTTCTAAGCAAGGTTTTGTTGAATAGAACTGCGGGCGCCTCTATCTTTTTTTTTCACCTGCCCCGCAGATCTGGGAAAGCCACACTTCACCAGGCACACCAGGACAATACAGACTGAAAATCCCAAATATAGGAAATACCACAAAACTGAGCAGGAAACTCCACCTCAGCAGCATTTCCTAATATTTTCTCTTACGTGAAC